GTCATAGAAAATAAAGCCACAATAAGTTTGTGCGCTAACACATTTCCATGTCATAGCAAATAAAGCCACTATAAGTTTGTGCGCTAACACATTTCCATGTCATAGCAAATAAAGCCACTATAGGTTTGTGCACTAACACATTTCCATGTCATAGCAAATAAAGCCACTTTAAGTTTGTGCACTAACACATTTCCATGTCATAGAAAATAAAGCCACTATAGGTTTGTGCACTAACACATTTCCATGTCATAGCAAATAAAGCCACTATAAGTTTGTGCGCTAACACATTTCCATGTCATATCAAATAAAGCCACTATAAGTTTGTGTGCTAACACATTTCCATGTCAAAGCAAATAAAGCCACTATAAGTTTGTGAGCTAACACATTTCCATGTCATAGCAAATAAAGCCACTATAAGTTTGTGCGCTAAAACATTTCCATGTCATGACAAAACAGGCCGCTAAGAATCTGTTGTCTTGTTTTCCCCAATTATTTCCCACAATCTTCGCAGCTGTCACATCATATTTATGTTTGCCTCGTCTGGTATCGTGACCAGAAATGATGCCTGTCTGCATTCGAAATTTCGATAAACTATTTGTTTGTTTTAACTTATCACAGACATCAGCAGGAGACAGTCATCATTTTTCGGCCATGTTATGAGAAGAGGGAAAATAGAACATGTTGAGGCTGGATGAACCTCGGGAAGCGCCCGGTTTCGAACAACGACCGTGGCTGCAGCGAATCGCAGTTGGATTTCTTCTTCTTCTTCGCGTTAACGGGCTGTAAACTCCGGCGAAAAGTTCTGGTGGTTCGTCCACTTTTAATCTGTGGAAGGAGGGATAGAGGAAGACAACGAGAGAAGATTCTTGACAGTCTTTTTGCATGGCATGGAGGTGTGTCGGCACACGAACTGACACATGCTGCAAGCGCCAGTCGGCAAGACACCGGATGAGGATGATATATTTGTTTTAACCTCTTGCAAAATATTTACTTAAATAATTGTGTCTTCTTGCGTTAATCCTCGTTCATTATGAAGTCTTAGATTTTACAAGGCTGCCTGCCGTGAGTGCATTTGTGCGCTTTGAAAACATTGTATCTTAAAATACAAGTGCAGAGAAGTATAAACAATGTACTTCTAATAGAAGAAGAAAATAATCAAATCAATCAGAAAGCCACCAAAACCGACAAAAAACGATTATCATAATATGGGCAGACCTGAGCAAATCGTTATTCTACAACTTAGAACAGGACACAAGTAAACACAATTAAAGATCGACGACCCCCCGTGTGGGTTCCGGGGCCCTATTGTAGGGAAAACAAGAATAGACCCACTGCCTCCCCAAAAGCATGTCGTAAGAGTCGACTAACTGGGGAGCTTCCTTTGAAGTCAGAGTGCATTTACCTGGGAGGCAAGGAACCAGCAGTCTGCATTCATGAATCAGATCTGTAAAACTGATGCACACGCAACACTCAGGTTCTGGAGCAGGACTGCAGTCCAGAAGTGGACGAACAACCACAACTTTTCGCCAGAGTGTACAGCTGGTGAACGCGAAGAAGAAGAAGAAGAAGAAGAAGAAGAAGAAGAAGAAGAAGAAAGATCGGCGAATTAGCCATGTGCACATGTGGACTGGCACCTGAGACAACAGGTCATGTCGTCTAAGACTGTCCTTAATACAACATATCAAGGCAAAAAAAAAAACGCCGGTGCAAGCGAAACTTTACAGGTCACTGTGGGATTTACAACAGACAGTGAAGTTCACACTAGAGACAACAATGCTGATAAAGATGATTTATTTCATGTGAACGAAGAAACAATTCTTTCGGAATTTTTAACAGTCATCGGTAAAAGTGCAACTATAAAATCTCAAGAGAATTGTTTTGCTTGTGCTTTATTTGTCCAGGATTTAGAGCTTTCTGTTAAAACTGATTTAGAAAACAATGCCACTTTTTTATACCCCCTCCCCCTGCTCCCAATCTTAGAGGTCATGGATTTATTGCAGAAGTACACATCGCATGTTAAATCATGGTTAGACCTCTCTGCACTTGCAAGCTCACATCAGCTGTTTTTACAAGCACACAAACTGTATTCTTTAAAAGAAAATCAGTAATTCTGTAAAAAAAATTGACAGCCTTGTCATATCTAAGACTTCACAATGCATGAGGATTAACAGCATGTCCTGTTAACAATGTATTTTCTTTCAGTTATTGGACAAGGTGACCATAATGTCCTGAGCTGAAATCGGGATAATCCATTAATATTTAAAGCTGGAAACGTGAAAACGGGACATCCAAAGCAAGTCAGTTTAACCCCACTCCACCCCCCCCTTTTCAGCCCCCACCCGCCCCCCTTTTCCACCCCCGATAGAGAATAGTATTAAAACCGGAACCATTGTGGTCAAGAAATCAACGAAACTGTTTTTTTAACTGCACTGAAAGAGAAAAAAAAAACGCATGCCACAATTAATATTATTATTACTATTATTATTACTGCGTAATTGAGCTAGATCTAAGGCCGATTTCCGCCCCTAGACAAATTATTAACCCCCCCCCCCCCACTATATTTCATTCGTGGCGGCGCCACTGCATCCAGTAGAAGACGTTTACGATGAGCAACCTTTGCCTATGGTTCGGAATTGCCTCCTTCATTTCTAGGTTTACACGAGCTCCGAGAGCCTCTGTCAGGCTGATTGAAGCATATGGCGACTGTGTTTGACGATATAGGTCGAGCAGCCACTAGAACCAAGGTCACTAACCCATGACCCATGCACTGCTGCTGCGAGAAGTTACTAGAGGATTTGGCCGTCGCTGAACACTCAAGGGAAAAGCGAGACGGATATACAATCAGACAGTTACTGGTACCATCGGAATTGGAACTCTTCGCTTGCTGCTGGTGATGGGGACGGAGGGTTTGTGGGAGTCTCCTGAGTGATGTGATGTAGATTCTTAATTCAACATTAAATCCATGCACTAATGTATTCAGGGCAGCCTTTGAAAATTAGTTTCAGGATATTTCAAATTAACCGGTCAGCTAAGACGATGAGCTAATAGCATGGTGCTTTATTAACACCCTACCCTAAACAGGGGAAATCCACAAGTCACGGGACAGTCTAATATTTCAGGGGGTGATAGACAGGCTGCACGCAGTCGTGGGACCTAGGCTGCAGTCTCTCGTGGGACGTATGTGGGTTGGCGTTAGGACCAGTTCTAGATGTTTTGGGGGTCGTTAAAAGCATCAGAAAGCCGGGAAACCCAGTCTTACCACCCTCTAAAATGTTGGACTGTCCTGTGACGTCATCTGGGGGTAATTAGTTAGTTAGTTAGTTAGTTAGGTGGGTTATCCTCATTGCACTCAGGACATGTCCATAGGTGCTCAGATCCTCCCCTCAGTATGAACCCCAACGTCCGATGGCTAATAGTACCAGTTCTATGTTGATTAACAAGTCTTCTGGCGTAGCTGGTGTGCGTCTCGTTTTTTGCTGTGCCGATCTTAATTCCCAAGTCTGCCATTCTGGCGAGTGATGTGGATTCACTGCCACCAAAGTCCTCTATTCTTCCCATTTCTCTGAGGGCATTGATAATATCAGCATGATCCATAGGCTGACCGTCGGTAGTGATAGCGGATCCAGCCAACCTGTCAGCTCTTTCATTTCCATCGACGCCTGCGTATCCCGGAACAAAAATAAAGGTGATTCCACGAACAGTGGACTTCTGTAATGATTCAAGCCATTGTCTTCGCACTGAACCTGCCTGAACCCTCCGGATCATACTCATTGAATCACTGAGTATACACACGCGGGTGTATTTTTGTGTTTCAAGCCAGGCAAGCGCTTGTGTCACTGCCATCACCTCCATCGTCATGCTGCTGGTTGTCATGGAGAAGGCGCCGTTGGCTTCTTTGACTGTTCTGCCCGCTGAGCGTGCTGTAAATGCCCATGCGCTTCTTCTTTGGCGTATAAACGGATCCGTCTGTATAGATTATTGCATCTGCTTCATCTGAATTTTCACCGATGAGAGCGTTGACCTCTGCATTAACAGCAACAGGATTCTCTTCTCTACATCGCCTGTTGAGTGTGACAATACAGGAAAATGTACAAATAAACGCCTGAGGCACAGGTATCCATTCTGCACCAGGTATGATGTCGGTTAGGCTGCATATTTGCCTAATGACATCTTCTGCCCGACCTAGCCACGATTTCCCCCTCTTCAGTCTGTCGCCCTTTTCACTAAAAAGCGCTTGATGCAGTGGGTGTTTCTTATCAGCGCATATTTTGAGATATGCCCGAGCCCTCCACATCCTGATCCTTTGGTTCATTGTTGGAAAGTCAAGTAGATACCTCATTGCTCCACAGGATGTGTCTCTAGTACATCCCAAAATAATGCGCATGGCTTCATTTTTGCACCTTTTCGAGTCGTTCAATCTGGGTAGCACTGACAGTGAGGATGGCCAGAGCGTATTCTATGGGGGAAAGGACCAGACCGTAGAATAGAAGTATTAGTAGTCTTTGCTCAATATTGGAAGCAGCCATAATCCTCATTGCAGATAGACCTTTGCGTGCTTTTGTTATCACATGGTCAACGTGTTCCCTGAATGACAAGCTGCGATCGAACCTCACCCCGAGAAACGTCATAACGTTGGTTCTGATCAATGCATTATCACGCATTTTCACTTCTGGTAAGTCCGACTTGACAATGTGATTGTTCAAAGAGAACCATGACACTGATGCCTTCGAAGGATTGACATAGGCATTGGAACCATCACACCAGGCGGCAATTCGATCGAGTTCTTTGTGCATAGTGCTGGCGATCTCCTGTCTATCACGCCCTCGTCGATAAATAAAAATGTCATCAGCAAATGACAAAGTCCTTCCCTTTCCATTCAACTGCTGCTCAGTGATCATCACCGTGTAAACGTTGAATAAGACTGGTGATAGCGGTGATCCCTGTGGCAAGCCTGGACATATCATTTGCGGTTCGGAGGACCAGCTACCACATCTTAGTACAATCTTTCTCTGGAACAGGACCGCAGCAATCCAGCGGATCAGAATAGGATTAACTTCTAGTTTAAGCAGTAATTGCATTAAATAATCGTATGGTACTTTATTGTAGGCATCTTCTAAGTCCAACACTGCAGCACATGTCTCTTCTTTAATCTGAAATCCCTCGTACACATCGTAGGCGAAAACTGCAGCATTGAACCATGTCTCTTTATTTAACCTGTACCCTCCAAGTGTTGGTGGGAACTTATCATGTAGTTCCAAGTAGGTGGTCAATCTTTGTGCGACAATTTTTTCCAAAAGTTTGCCAACAGTATTCTGCATCGAGATGATTCTGTAGCCGCAGATCTTTGAGTGGTCTTTATTAGGCTTTGGTAGTGGGAACAAATAACTATGGAGCCATTCCTCTTGTATCTGGCCACTCTGGATGCTGATATTGAATTCCTTTGCCACGCTTTTTAAATCAGCATTCGACATCATCAGCATGTCGTTGTATCGGATGCCGTCAGGGCCTGGAGCAGTGCTGCGCGATTTCTTGAGGCAAGTTCTTAAGGTATCTGCAGTGATTGTGAGATCAGTGCCTAACACAGTGTTCTCGCACAGCATCGACAGTTTCATCTTAACCCCTATTCTTGTAGCTTCGTCTGGGGGTAAGATATTAATAATGAACAAAAAAGCGTCCAGGATAGCCCCAGCAGAGAGTAAGTAAAACGCGAGTAATGGAGCGGCGCTAACAGGATCACCCGTCCGTAAGTAAACAAGTAATGGGCCATTTCCCCCGTCCTTAGGCGTATTGGGCATATAGTAAATAATGAAAATAATTTCCCACACACGAGGCCTATTGGGCATATAAGCCTAGGCCTGTAGTTTATAGACCTGTTGTCACTCGGCGGGTCTTGTGGTCAGTCAACATCACACCGGCTGCCTTTACTTTCCAGAACGTTACCTGATACCCATTTAAGGCTGGGTCGGCCTGGGAGCCGAGGTCATTTTTTGAAAGAAAAAAAAAAAAGTCCGTCTCCGTCAGAGCCTGAACTCACGAGCTTCAGATCGGCAGTCGAGCGTCTAACCGTTACACCATTGCGGCTCCCCACCCATCTGTACTCAGATCTAATTAATCTAAACATGAGCATTTCAAGTGCAGCAAGTTAAACTCTTTAATTCCTAAAGATAGTGGCATATTTCCAAGGAAGGCAATAATCGTAATGCAGAAAAAAAATTATCTATTAGTTGGATTGGCTTTTTACCCCATCAGGACATCACACAAGCGATAAACACCCGATGACACAAAGTGCCACCATGCGGATGAGGATCACCGTGGAGAGGTCCCAGAAACCGCGTTCAGACATTTGGCCATAATGATGACCTGCCTATATTGCGGTCCCTGGCAAAAGCCAGAGTGGGGCTTCAAATAACAAAAAATAACGTCCTAAGAAGGACGTAAGGAATTTTTAATCTATTAGTTCAAAAGACGGGATATTTACAGTGCTGGGTGGACTCGCGCATATACAATCTGGGATGTGGGGGGGTGTGGCATTTTTTGTTATTCTGTTATTCTACAATTATTATCGCAAGTTTCTAGTCGGCACTTTTTTAGTGTGCTCTAGAGAGTAAAAGATAGACTTTCAACACACTACTACTACTACTACTACTACTACTACTACTACTACTACTACTACTACTACTACTACTACTACTACTACTGCTGCTGCTGCTGCTGCTGCTGCTGCTGCTGCTGCTGCTGCTCCTAGTACTATTACTACCTCTATTACTACTACTACTACTACTACTACTACTACTACTACTAATACTACTGCTGCTGCTACTACTACTACCATTACTACTACTACTACTACTACTACTACTACTACTGCTGCTGCTGCTGCTGCTGCTGCTGCTGCCACTACTACTACTACTACTAACACCACCATCACCACCACCACAACCACCACTACTGCTACTACTACACAGTTGACAAGGCCTAGCTCAGTGGTTCTTAAACTTCCTAATGTGGCGACCCTTTAGTAAAGTTCTTCATGTTTTGGCGACACATTAGTAAAGTTCTTCATGTTGTGGCGAACCTGTAGTAAAGTTCTACATGTTGTGGCGACCCTTTAGTAAAGTTCTTTATGTTGTGGCGATCCTTTAGTAAAGTTCTTCATGTTAGGGTGACCCTTTAGTAAAGTTCTTCATGTTGTGGCGACCCTTTAGTAAAGTTCTTCATGTTGTGGTGACCCTTTAGTACAGTTCATCATGTTTTGGTGACCTCCAACCATATAATTTTTTTTTCGTTTTTACTTCATAACTTTAATAAAAATGTTTTGCGATGGTCTTTGGCGACCCCTATGAAAAGGTCGCTCGACCCAAAAAAGGGTTGCGACCCACAGGTTGAGAACCACTGACTGCCACTTTTTCTCAAGGTTGTTCCCTACCACTATTTTCCGCTGCCGAAAGGGAGTTTTGTGCTGCTGCTGTCTTCTTTTGATGTAGTTACTAATTTTGTCAGTCCCTGGGCTCGAATTCCCATTATATCTGACAGCTTACCGTGCGGGTTCTGGGGCCCCACAATTGGGGGAGGGGGGGGGTGTTGGGGTAGATCCCACTACCCTATATAAACATGTCGTAAAAGGTGGCTTATTAAAATTTTGCTGAAGGATTTGTTGGGCCAAGAGGTGGAAATATCATAACTTCGCTGTAAACCACAACATGTCGTATCAACCGCCTTACATGGGTGGAAACAGAAAAGGAATCGGAAGACACTTCATGGGCTATCCGATCTGCCAACGGTCATCCAGAGCCATGTCCAACCCCTGGTCAAATCATGGCGTTTGTATTGAGGTCGTTCTCTCTTCGTGATGGATGACTATATTTGTGGATGGATATATTTGTGGATGGATATATTTGTGGATGACTATATTTGTGGATGACTATATTTGTGGATGAATGGAATGGTACATGGATCGGCCCATATATGAAATGAGGTAAAAAATATGGGTCTAGTAACACAGTGTTTCTCTCGTACTGTCAGCTATCAAATAGAGACAGTAAGGGTGATTTTTATACAATGTATTAGTCGAGCCTAAACGAAAAGCTGGTAACATGAAAGGGGGCGGTGGAAAATAGCATTGGGTGGATGATGGGCTGAGTGGATGGTGGGATAAATGGTGTGGCAGATAAATGGGTGGGACGATGGCTATGTTCATGGATAGATGCAATGATAGATGGATGGCTGGATCGGCCTATATGTATGCTAATATATTAAATCAGGTAAAAACAAGGGTCACATAATGTAATCTTGCCAACTTTTTCCCCTGCCTTAAATTTTCTACCCCTTTAAAAACTCTCTTCGTGTTAATACACGCTGCTTGCCTGTGCATTATAAGGATGTGTGTCAGGATCTATTTCGGAGTCAGCTTCTTCTACGCGTTCATCGGCTGTAAACTCTAGCTGAATGTTCTGGATTGTTCATCCATTCCTGGACTCTAGTCCTGACCCAGAACCTGAGTTTTGCGTGCACATCTGTTTGACAGATCTAGCCCATGTCTGTGCAGACTGTTGGTTCCTTGCCTCTCAAGCAGATGCACTCCGACTTCGAAGGAAGCTCACAGTTAGTTGACTCTTACGACATGCTTTCGGGTAGGCAGTGGGTCTAGTCTTGTTTTTCCCAATCGAGTTCCCAGAGCCCACACAGAGATCGCAGTCAGCAAAACTGAAAAAAACTGGATCTTTTGAGCTGATATGTTACAGACAAAACATATGTGTGCCGTCTTCACAACGAAGGGTGGCTGCGATGCACCCCGTTCTATCTTTGGGAGTATTACGTGGTTCTTCTTCTTCTTCTTCTTCTTCTTCTTCTTCTTCTTTGATCCTTCTGTCAGAAAACTTATATCAGGAGGCCGGTTGCCTTTATGAAAGCTATCGTGCAATCCATATCCTCTCGTGTACTATACAGTTCTGTCTTCATTGTGGTTGGAACAGGCCAGATTGCGTCTCTGTTGTCAGCGTACAGTTGACAGTGTTGGAGCACATGCTCAGCATTTTCGGGTGCCACGCTGCAGGGACACGTCTCCGTGTTTCAAGTTGTTTTCCCCGAAGCGACACTTGTACCAAAGCCAGAAGATTGGCCTCCAATGGGCAGAAGGATGTCGACGAACATGACAAGCAGCCCCACACGGCATGGATCTGATAAAGAAGTCGATGTCGTAGGTCAGGGCTATTCAACAAAGTTTCAGCAAAGGCCAACATTTGGGACAATATTGATCTACGGCCTACAGCAATGGTTCCCAAACTTTTATGGCCGAGGCACCCTTGTCGTGCTAAAAAAAATGTCACGGCACACCTATCCTTAAAGCGATTTGAATGCTTAGAAAAAGAAGGTTAAACAGTGCACATTTAATGTTCAGTTGTCTTCAGTGCGATGAAACGATGCATTTTTATTACACCCTTTATGTATAAGTTTAGTTAATCTTACCCTCAAATCACGTGACCCAGAAAGTGTGCTCCTATGTGTGTTTTTTATGTAAGCGTACGTCGAGAATGCACTGCAGCCATGCCAATAGCATCATTTTCTAAATACATCGGCATCCAGAACTCTTGTTGGCTTCCTTCACGGTATTTCCGTTTTTAAACTGCTGCCTTCGCTGATCTCAAGCACATTTTGAAGAATTCTTGATTATTGCCGCAGCACCCCTGGCATACGCTCGCGGCACCCAGTTTGAGAACCTCTTTACCAGCATACACAGATCAACAATGCAATACAACTGGCAATGATTCGTAGGCCCAATGCTAGGCCGCTGTGGGCCAGATTTGGTCAGGGGGCCGCAGTTGAATAGTCTTGTCGTTAGAAATTCGTCTTCTAGCCTTTTTCTTTCAGTGGAACAAAGAGCCTCAAACATCCTCATCATCATCATAAATAAATCTTAGTGCACTTGTATCCATGGCAAGGCGCAGACGCCGTCTGGAGGTGACAGGTTCAATTCCCAGCACGGTAACTATAGCTTTCGATTTGTATGTTGTCTTGTGTGTTCTTCTATCTTTCTACTTCTTTCTATGAGTGCCAATCAATACATTTTCTGTTACTTGATTAATTCATTATCAGAAACCACTTCTGTCGTTAAGTGCCGTGGGGAGGAATAATTTGCGATCCAGTCCACGCTGGCTGCCACTGGCTATTGTCATGCTGTGAAGGCGTAGAGTGTCTTTAGCGTTGTCGATCCATTATTTCCCCAGCCATCCTCTTGCTCTTGTAGCTGATCTCAAACAACTCGCATTAAATCTCTTGCTATAGCATGTAGTTTATCCCATTTTCTCTCCCTTTTGTTTAC